TGATTTACGTTTGAATCACAAACGTGATGTCGACTGTAGAAAAAGCAGAACCAGCGATTTGTATTCCATCTTTGATCTTTGTGTGTTTGTTGTACTCGTCCCTGCCCCCTACACACTAACACACACACACTCTCACACACTCTCACACACTCACCCGTCCTCGGAGAATTGAATGTGTGCAGGCGGTTGAATCAACAGCAGGATTACTGTGTAATCAGGTTCTATCAAACATTCATATTAGATGTGGTTATTACACAGGAAGCTCATATATTATGCATCAGCTCTAATTCCAGGTCAGAACCTCAGTGTGTTATTGTGCTGCAGGTTATCCTGTCACTTTATTGTGAAAGGTGTAAATGTTACAACAGTGAAACAAACAGAACCATAAACTCTGAGTTAACGAAACTGTTCATTAGAACAATTAAGTGGTAAAAGTAGAAGAAGTTTAATTTGGTGATATTTGAGTATTTCCTCACACAGCAGGAGATAAACTAAATAACCGGTGGCAGAATGAAAGTAAAGCGTCTCTTCTCTCCGGGGAGCGGAGGAGAGGTGTTGATTGATTCTTTGTGTTTAACCTGTTTTACGATCATCAGTCGTCTCTGGAGTCTCCGATGAGACGAATCATATTCCACAACAACATTGTTTTAATGACTCACGCTCTGAGGTCACGTATGTGTGAAAGAAGGAATATAATTAATAGTAATATTTGATAATGGCAGCTGAGTCACCACGACACGACTCTTGTACCAGATCCTTCAGGTTCGGTAAAGATGGCGGCTGTGGTTGTGCGTAAATAAACGTTTTCCTGAAGTCAGTGTCAGATTCTTGTCGAATGAGAAATCAACCTGGGTCCAAAATGTACAAATACTCTTGAAATCAGTACAGTAGATTGTCTCCACCAGCAGCCGGGACTCAGCGATAGAGGCTGACATGTTGTCTTATGGGGCAACAAGGAAAGTCCATGGAATGTCCACTGAACACGTCACATGCCTAATGGACATTTGTTTCTGCGTTGTGAGCGGGTTATTTTCAGAACGCCTCCAGACGATGCTTCAGATCCTGTAGACTGATGAACTGAAGTTGATGGTCAAAGGTCAAAGGTCTCAGTTCAAGGTCATGAAACGTGGTTTGTGCCTGTTGAACATCTCGAGTCTGTCTTCTTCATCGTTTGACCAGTCGTCACTTGGACAAAGATGCATTGAGTAGATTTCTGTGGTCAGAGGTCAAAGGTCAAAGGTCAAAGGTCAAAGTAACTTCACACCGAGGTGAGTGCACTAGTTTCATACAAAATGTATTTGCTGTTGCAGTTTAGTTCTTTTTTAAATGCAGTCGCCCACATGTGTCTTTTATTTTGACATGTTACAACATGGAGAACATGTCGGCTGCAGTGTACACACGCACACACACACACACACACACACACACACACACACTGTTGTAGCAGCTGCTGGGTCTCATGGTGATGAACGTCTCTTCTCACTGTAGATATGAAATATTAAAGCTGATATTTTAAGGCTCCAATGATTTAATTTACGGTAGACATCTTTGTTTCCTTCCCTCCCTCCTTCCCTCTTTCCCTCCCTCTCTTCCTTCTCTTCTCTCCTCCCCACTCAGGGAGCCTGGGTGAAAGTGTGGAACCTCGTCCTGGAGCTTTACTCCTCTGGATGTTATGGCTGAAATGGTACGTAGGCTCAGCCAGAAGCTGAAATATAGTCGTGGTGAATAAGAGATATATATATATATATATATATATAAACACACATATATATATATAGTCAACCTCATCAATTAGTAATATTGGCTAAAATACCTTAAAAAATCTTTAGTCTTTATTATATCTTAGTCTGAGTGAAATCTTCAGAATGATCTCGTTGTGCAGGAAGTTTTTCTCCACGTCTCCAGATTTGATTGTCTCTATCGCGGCAGGTTGCCGGGCTCCTCTTCCTGAATTTAAAATGTGAGTGTGTGACTGGATTGTGAGGCAACACGAGGACACGGTCTCTGGCTCTGAGGAGTGAAGTGAGTTGTCAGTCTGCTGCGGCTGGATGAGTCAACACTGGATTCGAACCTGTGTAGATCTGAGGCAGCATCGTTTCTTCTGCTCAACAACTTGACTCACACTTGAAAACAAATAAAAACCATGTCAGAGATGAAACCCTTTGATTTTTACTGTAGGTCCTCGCCTATGACCTGTGTGTTTTTTCTTCCGAGGCTGATGAACGAAGGTTTGAGAGACTCAGTGGAGATGTTGAATCCTCAAAGTTTGTTTGTGTCCAATCAGGACCGAGACTCAGACCGCAGGAAAGTGTCCTTAATCCTTTTAGCATGATATGAAAAAACTGCTGTGATCGGGTTTTAAAGATGTGAAAACCAAAAGTGGAGCCAAATCGTCTCGATCGCCCCCTGGTGGCTGGCTACAGTACACCTGATAAACGCAGCCTCCTCCATGTGAGCAGATACTTTCTGTCATTTCAGGTCGATGGTTCATGTTTCTGATCGGTTTGGTTTAAATGAGGTATTTGATCATGATTGACAGCTGATTGGTTAATTGCTTGTGTCAGTGGAACCTCGATCGCTGCTGCACGGACTCTGACTTCACATTCGCTGGCTCCGAACGTCAGCGTTCATATCTGTGGTATTTCGGTCTGAACTCCTGCGGTTTGGACACGAGCGAATATCTTGGAGCCTGAAAAAAAAATCATATTCTTGCGAGTGAGAAGTCCGGCTGCCTCGCGGGGTCACGCCGGGACACTTTCTGAGCCTCCTGCTTTAGCCGCGGAGCTTGAACAGCCCGCGCAGGGTTCGGATGTAAACGTGAAATGTTGAAAACTCCTGGAGGAAGCGTGTGAGGAGCTGAACGCAGCCTCTCTGAGCTGATAACTGAATTCACGGAGTCTTCTGCAGCAGCAGCATGTACATGTTGTCACAGTGTGTGTGTGTGTGTCTGTGTGTGTGTGTGTGCAGCTCCCTCCGTTCATCTCGCAGCTTTTTAAATCTCGGCCATTTATCACATGCGGTCTCATTGATTGTCTCCCCGTCGCTCTGCCTGCCGGTAATGGGACACTTTTCTCTGCTTGCCTCCAGCAGCAGCAGAAACTCAGCACTTCAACATATTTCTCTGAGCCGCTGCCAATTTCATCCTTCATTTTCTTCTGCATTTAGTCTCATTGTATGGTTTTTTTTTTTTTCTTAGTTGCCACGGGATGTGCGGGAAGGGAGATTACCTATTGTTGCAGTTTCATTGTGAGTGTGATGAGTTGTTGTTCCTTTTTAATTGGGCTCATTTAGTCCGGACCCAGATGGCTGCTAATACAAGGAACCGAGCGCGGAGAGTCTGAGAGGCAGATGACAATATGACCGCTTAGAGATAAAAATGGGACAAGGAAAAAATCCTAAAGGTTTGTGTGTGTGTGTGTGTGTGTGTGTGTGTGTGTGTGTGTGTTGGAGAGGATGTTCAAGTTGTTAAGTTTGCAAATAAGTCCACAGCCAAGTTTTCAAATTGGGCACCCAAAAAAAATAAAGAGAGATCGAGGGCACAAGTTCAGAGACGGAGCAGAGAATAAATCAAAGTGAGAAACTGAAGGTTCTGGTTCTGAGTCTCGGTCGTCTGCACCCAAAGGAGCGCTTGTTTTTAAACGGAAGTGAAACCCAGGAGGAGTTTATAACGTGATGTTTGTGTGTCTGAGGTGTTTCAGTTCAGCTGATTCTGATTCTTTTGCGTTAGTTTGGACTGTGTTGTGTGAGACATAAATAAAACGCTGTGAAGAGGTTTTAACATCGGGCTCTCCGGTGTCGAGAGGTGGAGTAGGACCTCCCCCCCTCCCCCTCCTGATATTAGCACCGCTCCACTTAGACTTTTATTCTCCGAGGAAAAGAGCAGCTCAGCCGGCGTTCTGCTTTTTGAGTCTCATTCCTTCTGGTCACGGTCGAGTAGGAGCAACAGAAAATGGGTTGAACTGCTCCGACACCTCCAGAGTAGAATCGACCAGTTCTAATGGACTGAAGAGAAGCACTGTCCTGATTCTAATAAAATCCCAAACTATGAAAAAAGACGTTTTGCTGAAAGCTGGAATAAGATCCACAGACGCTGCGTGAGCTTGAACTGCGGACACGTTTCACTCAGGAGTTTGTTAGTTCACACATTAGTGACCTTTTTTATTTCAGGGGATTCAATGTGATCAATAAAAGCTTGAATGATAGAAAGACGTCGTTAACCTTCTGTTACTCATCAGGTGAATTATTCTGCTTTTTCAAAAGGTCATTTATGAGCAAATCAAGAGAATTTTAACTCAAAGTTTCTGTTCAGAACTTCAAGAGTCTGAAAACTGTGTTTCTTAGGATCCGATGTGCGTCTCTGGACTCTGTTGGCAGCAGCAGCGTAAAGAACACACCACTGCACACTGACCCACTTTCACTACATATAGGGCACATTAATAATTCATTTTCTATATGCTCCTGCCCACGTGTGTGTGTGTGTGTGTGTGTGTGTGTGTGTTTGAATGAGTGATGGTGCTGTGGGTGTTGTTGGCCTTTAGTTTAATCAGGGAGAAGATCAGGTTTCACACATTCACTGTCAGTCGGTGATTCTGGTGCCGTCAACATCTGGCCCAGATGTTTGATTTCTTCACCTTTAAGAGTCGGATGTGGGCGACGTCTCGATTGCCCCCTGGTGGCTGGCTGCGGTACATGTCATAAACCTCCTCGTCCTCCATGTTAGCAAACTTCAAATTTAAACATCAGAGTGGACGATAAATGTTTGTCAAAGATGTTTCTGTCATTTCAGCTCGTTCTTAGCTCAGTGATGTTCGTTCACGTGTTTCTGATCAGTTTGGTTTTATTAGTTATTTGATGATTTTAAAAACAGACTGAGACGTCATGATTGACAGCTGCTCAGTCTCAGATGTCAGAGACGGCAGCGTTTTATATCTTGAGATATTTTAGCTTAAATTTTGCCCAAAAGGACAAAGTGGAACTTTATTTACAGTTTGTGGAATTGACCATGATTCTCCCTGATGATTCGTCGGAGGCCAGTTTATCTGACGTTTGTTCTTTTCCTCTTTTGCAATAATTGAAAACGATCCACGTAGATTGTGTGAGTGTTTTTGAGCAGTCTGTCTGTTTGTGACGTGAAGCCGCAGCAGCAGGACATGTTTGCTTTGCTTCCTGCAGGGTTTACTACAGATCCACTGAGAGAGAGTGTGTTCTGGTTTCAGTCCCACTCAGGAAACTCAGCCGTGAAAATACAACCTGTGATATGAAGAGGTCCTTTCTGAACTTGAACTCTTCATATTAAAGAGTCAGGAGGGAAACATGAAACTTTTTATTGTGAGTGTGAAATCGTGCAGGACTAAGTTGAAACTTTGGATCCATTTATCCGCCTCTGACTCATGAGATCAACGTTTTCTGTTCTGAGACAGGTCCTGCAATTAAATTTAAACAAAACGAAATTGACTTTTTTTAAACCTAAACGTAGAGAGAGAGAGAGAGAGAGAGAGAGAAAATTAAGTGTGTCGTGAGATAATTGGAATTTAGTCTGTGTGTGGCAGGAGTGTTGGAGTGTAAGCGTAACCCTGAGACACGGGGCGCGGACCCCACAACTACATGATGGTAAACCAGACCCTGCACGAGCTGAGAGCTCCGAGAGCGGACGGATAATGAGCCCAGGGTCCTTAAAGAAGCCAATTAGTCCTAATAAGCTACAGTTTCTGGCATCCTGGGGCTGGAGCTTATACTGTACCACACACACACACACACACACACACACACACACA